CTGTAAAACCTTACATATTACCATTGTTGAATCTCCCAAACCCTTCATTTAAACATGCACCATTGCTAGCTGGTCCTTTTTGTCCCATTTTTTGCTTCCATAGTGCTATTTTCCCAACTACTGTTACCCTTAAGATTCCTGACTGCCCAGCCACTTTATACCAAAAGCTTTCTTTGACATTTTTCTCTTTCCATGCCTTCCTGCCTTTCCACATACCCAGTACAAAGCCTGAAGATGCTTTCACAGAGAAGCCTTAAATTATCCCAGCATACTTTATTGCACCCACACTTTTTCACTTCAAAAACCTTTTTGTCACCCTTGTCCAATATTCGTACCCTATTTTCTTCTATATTCTCAATTCTTCTGCTCCATATTTACTTGTTTTCTGTGGTATCATTTTCCCCTCCTCCATTTCACTTAGATCCTATATTTTTTTTACCCTATCTTACCCTTTTTGTTTGGTGCCTTCCTCCAAAACCAAGGTTTCTGTCGTTCATCAGTCATCCTTCCACCTTTCACTCTTAAACTCTCTGGTAATTCTGTTTTTTCCTCCTTCTCAAAAAGCTCACACTTTGCTAATGTGCATATATTGTTCACTTGAGTGCTTCTAAATAAATATTTACTTTTCAAAGGAGTGAAATCTGAACTATTAGCATGGATGGAAACAACCTCTGGGAAGACAAGATCTCCACTCAAAAGCTTCAAATTGAGATTCTCCTGCTCATGTTGAATGATGGTTTTATCTAATATTTTCTGAAATAGGGTGACTACTTGAACTACACAAAATTGTGAAATGAGAATATCTTTGATTTTATACTTTTTTTTTTTCTTTTTTTGAGATGAAGTCTTACTCTGTCACCTAGGCTGGAGTGCAGTGGCACAATCTCGGCTCATTGCAACCTCTGCCTCCCAGGTTCAGGTGATTCTCGTCCCTTGGCCTCCCGAGTAGCTGGGATTACAGGCGTGTGCCACCATGCCTGGCTAATTTTTGCATTTTTTGGTAGAGATGGGGTTTCACCATGTTGACCAGGCTGGTCTTGAACTCCTGACCTCAAGTGATCCACCCACCTTAGCCTCCCAAAGTGTTGGGATTATAGGCATGAGCCACTGTGCCTGACCACTTACATCTATTTTGATTGACTTGAAATAAAATTTAACACCCCAGAGAAGGCAATTCTCATGTGTTTTGAATTATACTGAGCATTAATTCTTCAGGATAATTATAGACTTGGAAATGTTTAATCCAGTCTCCTAGTCCATGCTGAAGCTCCTTTAAGTGATAGGAGGAACTCATAATCTACAAGGCAACCCAATCCATTTGTTGCTATATCAATTGTTATAAAGCTCATCCTTGGGTTAAAATCGGCTGTTTATAGTTGTATTTAATGACCTTAATTCTGCCCTCAAGCTATACAAAATGTGGATCTCTTTTCTACATGATAACCTTTTAGATATCAGTCTATCCTCCCTACCCTTCCCCTCACAATTTTTCCACCCTTTGCGATAAATATCCTTTGCTATTCTAACTATTTCTCATATGATATCATTTTTATCATCCCAATTGCTCCCTAAGGACATTAAACTTTGTTAATGTCCCTTCCAAAATGTATTTGGAACTGGAAATAATATCCCTTGGTAGCTGAATTGGATCTGGATGTTGCACATCTGGACACTAATGCAGCCTGAAGTTGCTGTAAGTTTTTTAGTCAACTTGTAATGTTGGCTCATGATGAATTTGTAATTAATTAAAATTCCAAGGTTTAATCTGGAGGATTGCCTTTATGTGATTTTTTCTTAAACCAAGTCTCCATTTTCTTTTAGTTATGCAACAGATTTTTTTTTTTTTTTTTTTTGAGACGCTCGCTCTGTCACCCAGGCTGGGGTGCAGTGGCACGATCTCAGCTCACTGCAACCTCCACCTCCTGGGTTCAAGCAATTCTCCTGCCTCAGCCTCCCAAGTAGCTGCAATTACAGGAGTCTGCCACCACGCCTGGCTAATTTTCTTTGTTTCTTTTTTTTTTTTTTTTAAGTAGAGATGGGGTTTCTCCATGTTGGTCAGGCTGGTCTTGAACTTCTGACCTCAGGTGACCCACCTTCCTTGGCCTCACAAAGTCCCGGGATTATAGGCATGAGCCATTGCACCCGGCCCTTTTTTTTTTCTTTCTTTCTTTTTTTGAGATGGAGCCTCACTCTGTCGCCCAGGATGGAGTACAGTGACATGATCTTGGCTCACTGCAACCTCCACTGCCCGGGTTCAAGGGATTCTTCTGTCTCAGCCTCCCGAGTAGCTGGGATTACAGGTACCTGCCACCACGCCTGGCTAATTTTTGTATTTTTAGTAGAGGTAGGGGTTTCACCATGTTGGCCAGGCTGGTCTCAAACTCCTGACCTCAAGTTATCCGGCTGCCTTGGCCTCCCAAAAGTGCTGAGATTATAGGCATGAGTCACCGCACCCGGCCTATGCACCAGATATTTTTTAAAAACCAGATGTAAGACTTTACACTTACCGCTATTAAATGTTATCTCATTAGCCTATCAGGTAGCTTTGGTTTTTTACTTTTATTTTATTTATTTATTTATTTTTTTGAGACAAGAGTTTCGCTCTTGTTGCCCAGGCTGGAATGCAATGGTGCGATCTCCGCTCACTGCAAGCTCCGCCTCCTGGGTTCAAGTGATTCTCCTGCCTCAGCCTCCCAAGTAGCTGGGATTACAGGCATGTGCCACCACGCCTGGCTAATTTTGTGTTTTTTAGTAGAGACGGTTTCACCATGTTGGTCTAGCTGGTCTCGAACTCCCGACCTCAAGTGATTTGCCCATCTTGGCTTCCCAAAGTGCTGGGATTACAGGCATGAGCCACTATGACCGGCTGGTTTTTTTCTTAAGACTAGTCAAGTGCAGAGTGAGAAGAGGGAAAAGAGTAGAACAAGGGGTTTGATCAGCCTTGGTTTCTTTGAATCTTGATTTTTGTCATTCGGTTTATTATGCTGATTCAACAAAGGGCCTTGAAGCTAATGTTGGAATGTTTTCAGACATCTAGGAAATGATAATTCATCAAAAGTCATGGAGACTATTCCAAAAGTTTTATGCAGATATAACTCAGCTGTTGAGGTATGAGTTAATACCACTATAAGTTGACATGGCCAGGAAAGACAAGTCCATTGCCAGCTTGCTTTGTGTTGAACATTACTCCAAAAGAGATTAAATTCTAAGACATATTGTGTCAACATAAAGGCAAAAGAGCTGGCTAATTCTTCTCAAGAAATCAATGGCTCGACCTTTTGGCTCATGCCTGTAATCCCAGCATTTTGGGAGGCCGAGGCGGGGGATCACCTGAGGTCGGGAGTTCAAGACCAACCTGACCAACCTGGAGAAACCCCGTCTCTGCTAAAAAATACAAAATTAGCTGGGCATGGTGGTGCATGTCTGTAATCCCAGCTACTTGAGAGGTTGAGGCAGGAGAATCGCTTGAACCCAGGAGGCAGAGGTTGCAGTGAGCCAAGATCACGCCATTGCACTCCAGCCAGGGCAACAAGAGCAAAACTCCATCTCAAAAAAAAAAAAAAAAATCAATTAATGCACATATAATATAGAGACAGAGTCCTTGTTACCATTATTTTGCCTTTGACAAGTTTATATTGAGCACATTATCAGGCAATGTGGGAGATTCTGGAGAACCAGGTTTGCCTCATAGCTAGGGTTACCATATGCTCTAGTTTGCCTGGGGCAACCCTGATTTATGCCTGTTGTCCCAGTGTGATTATTGCTAGTGTGATTTTTCACTTTGAGAAGTGTCCGGGTTTGGAAGATAAATTATCTTGCTATCCTTCTCATAACCTAATGGGTTCTCTTTAGTATTTTATCTGGGTTAAAATTACACAGCTGTAATTTGGCAGCTCTAATAAGACTGCAACAATACTTATCTTCCATTTGAACAGATTGTTACTTGACCAAGGGGAAGTTTTGTTTTTTTTTTTTTTTGAGGCTGAGTCTTGCTCTGCTGCCCAGGATGGAGTGCAGTGTTGCGATCTCGGCTCACTGCAAGCTCGGCCTCCTGGGTTCACGCCATTCTCCTGCCTCAGCCTCCCCAGCAGCTGGGACTACAGGCGCCCACAACCACGCCCGGCTAATTTTTTGTATTTTTAGGTGAGACGGGGTTTCACCCTGTTAGCCAGGATGGTCTCAATCTCCTGACCTCGTGATCCGCCCGCCTCGGCCTCCCAAAGTGCTGGGATTACAGGCATGAGCCACTGCGCCTGGCTACCAAGGGCAGTTAATAGCAAAAGTAACTGCAGGGCACATGTATGTCATGGGCAAAAAAAAAAAAAAAAAAAAGCAATTAAGGTTTGCAGGTACTTAGAGTTTCTCCTGAGCCACTCTCTAGAGGGCAGTGTTACATATATATCTGTAATTATCCAGTTACAACAAAAAAGGGGATCTGGTTCATGCATGAAAATCATAAATATTTCATACTCTTAAAGAACACATTGGAACCAATATTATGATTAAAACATATTTTGCTAAGCAAAGAAATATTAAAATTAATTCATTAACATTCTGAACATTTTTTAATTTGTAAAAACTGAACTTTGATGCCTTGAATATATAATGATTCATTATAACAATTACGCACAGACTTTAATAATCTGCATATTTTATGCTTCTTTCATGTTTTTCCTAATTAATGATTTGACATGGTTAATAATTATAATATATTCTGCATCACAGTTTACATATTTATGTAAAATAAGCATTTAAAAATTATTAGTTTTATGCTGCCTGCTTAAATATTACTTTCCTCAAAAAGAGAAAACAAAAATGCTAGATTTTACTTTATGACTTGAATGATGTAATGTTAAACCCTAGTATTTAGAATTAGAATGTTTCTTAGCAGTTGTGTAGTTATTTTTATGTCATAAGTGATAATTTGTTAGCTCCTATAACAAAAGTCTATTGCTTGTGTTTCACATTTTGGATTTCCTAATATAATGTTCTCTTTTTAGAAAAGGTGGACAAGTCCTATTTTCAAGAGAAGATGACTTTTAACAGTTTTGAAGGATCTAAAACTTGTGTACCTGCAGACATCAATAAGGAAGAAGAATTTGTAGAAGAGTTTAATAGATTAAAAACTTTTGCAGATTTTCCAAGTAGTAGTCCTGTTTCAGCATCAACACTGGCACGAGCAGGGTTTCTTTATACTGGTGAAGGAGATACCGTGCGGTGCTTTAGTTGTCATGCAGCTGTAGATAGATGGCAATATGGAGACTCAGCAGTTGGAAGACACAGGAAAGTATCCCCAAATTGCAGATTTATCAATGGCTTTTATTTTGAAAATAGTGCCACGCAGTCTACAAATTCTGGTATCCAGAATGGTCAGTACAAAGTCGAAAACTATCTGGGAAGCAGAAATCATTTTGCCTTAGACAGGCCATCTGAGACACATGCAGACTATCTTTTGAGAACTGGGCAGGTTGTAGATATATCAGACACCATATACCCGAGGAACCCTGCCATGTATAGTGAAGAAGCTAGATTAAAGTCCTTTCAGAACTGGCCAGACTATGCTCACCTAACCCCAAGAGAGTTAGCAAGTGCTGGACTCTACTACACAGGTATTGGTGACCAAGTGCAGTGCTTTTGTTGTGGTGGAAAACTGAAAAATTGGGAACCTTGTGATCGTGCCTGGTCAGAACACAGGCGACACTTTCCTAATTGCTTCTTTGTTTTGGGCCGGAATCTTAATATTCGAAGTGAATCTGATGCTGTGAGTTCTGATAGGAATTTCCCAAATTCAACAAATCTTCCAAGAAATCCATCCATGGCAGATTATGAAGCACGGATCATTACTTTTGGGACATGGATATACTCAGTTAACAAGGAGCAGCTTGCAAGAGCTGGATTTTATGCTTTAGGTAAACTTTATTATAAAACCAATAAATAGCTTCCCATCTTTGCCAGGGCTCGTAAAAAGTAAATAGATGCCCTTAGCCCCCTGAACTGGTAAATATTTAGGTATAACTTGGCACGATTATATATATATCCGTATTATTCTGTGAACTCTTATGTTGAACCTGTAATGTAACTACTGAATTTATGTGAAAAAGACTACCATATTATGAGTCATGCTTCTCTTCATGTAATTGTTTTTAGGAAGTAGATAACTTGCAAAAGATGGTAGCATCCCCAATAGCAAAATGGGTCTAATAGTAATATTAACCATCATTTATTGAGCACTTCCTGTAAGTAAATACATATACCTCATGCATTTTCTCTAAACTTCACAGTAACTTCTTTTTTTTGTTTTTTTTTTTGTTTTTTTTTTGAGACGGAGTTTCGCTCTTGTTGTCCAGGCTGGAGCGCAATAGCGAGATTTAGGCTCGCTGCAACCTCTGCCTCCTGGGTTCAAGCAATTCTCCTGCCTCGGCCTCCTGAGTGACTGGGATTACAGGCATGTGCTACCACGCCTGGCTAATTTTGTATTTTTAGTAGAGACAGGGTTTCTCCCTGTTGGTCAAACTGGTCTCAAATTCCTGACCTCAGGTGATCCACCTGCCTTGGCCTCCCAAAGTGCTGGGATTACAGGTGCATGCGCCACGCCTGGCTAATTTTTGTACTTTTAGTAGAGACGGGGTTTCACCATGGCCAGTCTGGTCTCGAACTCCTGACCTTGTGATCCACCCACCTTGGCCTCCCAAAGTGCTGGGATTACAGGCATGAGCCACCGCGCTCGGCCATATGAGTGCTTTCAAATGGACTGTGGTAGACATGTCAGGAAGGGCCGTTGGAGTGATTGCTTCTAAAGATATTTTTTTAAATTATACCATTATATATTTGACCCATTTATTTTAAGATTGAATAATGCCTATAAAATATTGGTTATTTCAAAAGATTTTATTTATGTACCATCATATAGTAATCTTGAAGGTTTGTTTAGTGTCATGTTGCTATAAACTTAGAGAAACTTGTCTCATAATTTCATTATATAGAACTTTAATGTTACTAATACTTGGAACATAACATCAGTTTTAAAGTTTCACAGTTTGAAACAGTAAGTACAATATTGGTGGCCCAAATAACATACTAAAAAGACAGTATGGCTGGGCTCAGTGGCTCACGCCTGTAATCCCAGCACTTTGGGAGGCTGAGGTGGGTGGATCACCTGAGGTCAGGAGCTCAAGACCAGCCTGGCCAACATGGCGAAACCCCGTCTCTACTAAAAATACAAAAATTACCTGGACGTGGTGGCACGTGCCTGTAATCCCAGCTACTCGGGAGGCTAAGGCAGGAGAATCACTTGAACCCAGGAGGCAGAGGTTGCAGTGAGCCAAGATCAAGCCATTGCACTCCCGCCTGTGCAACAAGAGTAAAACTTCATCTCAGAAAAAAAATAGTAATAATAATAAATAAATAAATAAATAAATAAATAAATGAAAATAAAGTATGCCAGGCACAGTGGCTCACGCCTGTAATCCCAGCACTTTGGGAGGCCGAGGCGGGTGGATCACTTGAGGTCAGGAGTTCAAGATCAGGCTGGCCAACATGGTGAAACCCCATCTCTACCAAAGATATAAAAAATTAGCCGGGTATGGTGGCGCATGCCTGTAATCCCAGCTACTTGAGAGGCTGAGGCAGGAGAATCGCTTGAACTCGGGAGGCAAAGGTTGCAGTGAGCCAAGACTGAGCCATTGCACTCCAGTCTGGGGAACAGAGCAAGACTCAGTCTCAAAAAAAAAATAAAAAATAACAATTTTAGTTTTTAACATAAAACTTGGCAGTTTTATTTTTGTCTTCTGTAAAAAATACCTCAGATTGAATCAGTGAATTTAGTGTGTATTTCTTCCTCAAAGGATAAAGATCATATCTGTTACTTAGATGTGAATTTGAATGTCTTGTTTTAAGCTGCGAGATTTTCATATTTTTCAGATGTGCTTAATTTTTAGGTGTTAAATGAATATTTTTGTGTAAGCTTCTAATTGCACAAATACATATATTCCTGTGTGTTTTCGTAGGTGAAGGTGATAAAGTAAAGTGCTTTCACTGTGGAGGAGGGCTAACTGATTGGAAGCCCAGTGAAGACCCTTGGGAGCAACATGCTAAATGGTATCCAGGGTAAGATATTTAATTGTTCATTGTACAGGCAAGTTGGATAGCATGCAGTGGGAGACTTGAATTACTTTTTACCTCAACTATTTTTGCCTTCACTATGGCTTGAAATTCATGCTAGGTTTATAAAAATGAGGAAGGTTTATAAGCCTTCTCTGATGACCAAAACATTCACTGTTTATGTGTCATATCTATGACATTCAGAATATCCCATTTCTTTTTTTTTTTTTTTAACACAGAGTTTTACTCTCTTGCCTAGGCTGGAGTGCAGTGGTGCAATCTTGGCTCACTGCATGCTCCGCCTCCCAGGTTCAAGCGATTTTTGTGCCTCAGCCTCTTGAGTAGCTGGAATTACAGGCACCCGCCACTGCCACCATGCCTGGCTAATTTTTTTTTTTTTTTTTTGATATGGAGTCTCACTCTGTTGTCAGGCTGGAATGCAGTGGTACGATTTTGGCTCACTGCAACCTCCGCCTCCCGGGTTCAAGCGATTCTCCTGCCTCAGCCTCCCAAGTAGCTGGGACTACAGGTAAGTGCCACCATGCCCAGCTAATTTTTTGTATTTTTAGTAGAGACAGGGCTTCACCATGTTGGCCAGGATGGTCTTGATCTCCTGACCTTGTGATCCGCCCACCTCGGCCTCCCAAAGTGCTGGGATTCTGGCTGATTTTTGTATTTTTTAGTAAAGACCAGGGTATCACCATGTTGGCCAGGCTGGTCTTGAACTCCTGACCTCAGATGATTGGCCTGCCTCGGCCTCCCAAAGTGCTGGGATTACAGGTGTGAGCCACTGTGCCTAGAGTTATCCCACTCTAGATTATCCCATTTCTTTTTCTTTTTTTTTTTGAAACAAGAGTTTTGCTCTTGTCGCCCAGGCTGGAGTGCAGTAGTGCTATCTCAGCTCACTGCAATCTCTGCCTCCTGGGTTCAAGTGATTCTCCTGCCTCAGCCTCCCAAGTAGCTGGGATTACAGGTGCCCACCACCACGCCCGGCTAATTTTTTGTATTTTTAGTAGAGACGGGGTTTCACCATGTTGGTCAGGCTGGTCTTGAACTCCCAACCTCAGGTTATCCACCCACCTCAGCCTCCCAAAGTGCTGGGTTTACAAGCATGAGCCACCGTGCTTGGCCTCTAGATTATCCAATTTTTAAATACAAATTAGAAAATGTGTGCTTTTTTATTGTTGGAAGTAGGCTCTTTTATGATCAGCATGAGAGCCCATATTGCCAAGGAGATTCCTTAAGAAGTCATCATACCCCTAGGAAATATTAGTGTATCTCATTATCTCTATGACATACAATTGTTCACATTTTGAGATCTCTGGTTGGGGTGTGGTGGCTCACGCCTGTAATCCCAGCACTTTGGGAGGATGAGGCGGGTGGATTGCTGGAGCCCAAGAGTTCGAGACCAGCCTGGGCAACATAGTGAGACCCTGTCTCTACAAAAAAATATGAAAAACAATTAGCCAGTCATGGTGGCACACACCTGTAGTTCCAGTTACTCATGAGACTGAGGTAAGAGGATCACTTGAGCTGGGGAGGCAGAGGTTGTAGTGAGCTGACGCCATTGCACTCGGTGCCACTGCACTCCAGCCTGGGCAACAGAGTGAGACCCTGTCTCAAAAAAAAAAAAAAAAGAAAACGAAAACAAACAAACAAAAAAAACAGCCGGGCATGGTGGCTTACGCCTGTAATCCCAGCACTTTGGGAGGCCAAGGTGGGTGGATCACCTGAGGTCGGGGGTTTGAGACCAGCCTGAACAACATGGAGAAACCCTGTCTCTACTAAAAATACAAAATTAGCCGAGCGTGGTAGCGCATGCCTGTAATCCCAGGTATTCGGGAGGCAGAGGTTGCAGTGAGCCGAGATCGTGCCATTGCACTCCAGCCTGGGCAACAAGAGTGAAGCTCCGTCTCAAAAAAATAAAAGTAAAAACCCAAACTTAAGAGCGATCATTTGAAAAGAAATCTTAGCCTTAAACAGCTTTAAAAATAAATATTGAAAAGCCTAAAAGAATTCCATTTAAATGGGCAATTGGTTAATTCTTTAAATAAAACCTGTTAAGATGGGCGTGGTGGCTCATGCCTACAATCCCAGCACTTTGGGAGACTGAGGCAGGCAGATCACTTGAGGTGAGGAGTTTGAGACCAGCCTGGCCAATATGGTGAAACCCTGTCTCTACTGAAAATACAAAAATTAGCTGGGCGTAGTGGTGCATGCCTGTAATCCCAGCTACTCAGGAGGCTAAGGCAGGAGAATTGCTTGAACCCTGGGAGGCGGATGTTGCAGTGAGCCAAGATCGTGCCACTGCACTCCAACCTGGGTGACAGAGCGAGACTCTGTCTCAAAAAAAAAAAAAAAAGTCAAGGTGCTAATTTAATAACTTGTTTTAGAAAGTTCTCAAGTTGATATTTTTTGCTCTACTAACATTAGCATAGGTAACATAACAAAGGGAACTTTTTTAACCTTAAAATGACAATGGGATAGGGATTTGGGTAACATTTTACTTTGTGGCTCCTTAGAAGTACTGAAAAGCAAGTTAATGGAATTAATAGAATTAATATGATGGAGATTATATCTTTGCTTGTACTTCACTAATTTATCAGCTACTAAAGTTTAACCTTTTAATTGTTTAGGTGTAAATATCTGTTAGAACAGAAGGGACAAGAATATATAAACAATATTCATTTAACCCATTCACTTGAGGAGTGTCTGGTAAGTCTCATTATATAATTTATATTTTCAAATTTATATTTCAAATTATATTTTCATTATGTAATTTATATTATATCATTTGTTTATAGTTATTTCTTCATGCAAAATTCTCAGTATATTATAAATCAATATATGTATACATTACATGAAAACACAAATTTTAAGTTAAAAACAAAATAATAAATGTATGATGGGCTTTAAGAGTGAGAGCTAGCCAGGCACAGTGTTTCACACCTGTAATTCTAACATTTTGAGAGGCCAAGGCGAGAGGATCACTTGAGCCCAGGAGTTTGAGATCAGCCTAGACAACATAGTGAGACCCTGTCTCTACAAAAAATTTTAAAAACTAATTAGCCAGACTTGTGGTACATGCCTGTAGTCCCAGCTACTTGGGAGGCTGAGGCAGGAGGATCGCTTGAGCTCAAAAGGTCAGAGGATTCAGTGAGCCATGTTCATTCCACTGTACTCCTGCCTGAGAAAGGGAAACCCTCTCTCTTAAAAAAAAAAAAAAAAAGAGAGAGAGAGCGCGCCTAAAAAGTGTTTCTTATTCTTTACCTGAAGTAAATTTGTGAAAAGATAATCAGGATGAACTGATTTAAATATCACTGTAGGCAAAAATGGGCTTGAAGAACTAAAATACTAAAAGTCCCTTAGCCTTCTGAAATTAGATCTTCGTATAATGTGCTTTGTACTCAAAAGTAGTTTTAAACTTTTTGCAGACATTATTTAAAATCTTAAAAATATATCTAAATTGATAGGATGGGTGCTGGGTGCAGCGGCTCACACCTGTAATCCCAGCACTTTGGGAGGCTGAGGCGGATGAATCACCTGAGGTCAGGAGTTCGAGACCAGCTTGGCCAACATCATGAAACCCCGTCTCTACTAAAAATACAAAAAATTAGCCAGGCACGATGGCGCTCACCTGTAATCTCAGCTACTGGGGAGACTGGGGCAGGAGAATTGCTTGAACCTGGGAGGCTGAGGTTACAGTGAGCTGAGATTGTGCCACTGCACTCCA